TACAAATGTGCTTTACACAATTGATGTATGTATAGATTGTGATAAGAGTTGTATGAGCCCCTAGTAAAACGATAAAAAAAAAAAGAAGGGAGGAGAGGAGAGGAAGTTGGGCCTTAGTTCTGGAGACAAGGCCATGTGTGGGCAGGGGCGATTTAAGGAAAAAGGTGGAGAATCAGCAGCAGCTGGTAAGGGGCCTGGCACAGGGACCAGGGGAGGGTGGGGCACATGGAACTGGCTGGGCCAGTCCAAGAGGCCGCCTGGGGCGGAGCCCACTTGTAGGAATCTAAAGGCACAGCTGTATCCTTTTTCTTCGCAGCCCCCCAGCGAACCCCAAATGGCGGTGTGGACCCCCAGGAGTCTGATCTTTGGGGTGTGGACTTGGCAGGGCTGTGGGCAGCTCTGGGTGAGGGGCTGCTGGCTGGAACCCCAGCAGCCAGGCTGAGCAGGCTGGTGGAGTGGGGTGTCCAGAAATGGGACATCTTGGTGGGGTCCAAGAGGAGGTGGACTCAGAGGAAGAATGTGAGAAGCAGAGAGTAGGCGGTGGTCAGAGTAAGCCACCCTGCAATGTACAGCCTCGGCGGCAGCGCATGTCCAGAGATGACCAGGCGTCGAGGGTAGCCAAGCGCGGATGGGAGGCGGGGTTGCAGGGCCAGGGGCAGTGAGAAGAGGGTGGGTCACCTGCACGTATACCATGGCTGCCCTGGACACTGGCTGTTCTGGGGATGGAGAGGAGGTCAGTGAGATCTCCATCGGTGCAGGTCTGTGACTTAGAGGACACGGGAGGGTAGCACACGGAGCAAGGCTGGGCCCTTGCTCTGGAGGCCTGCCTGCCCCATCCTGTGGACTGGCCTCCCTTTTAGGGAGGTCATCTTGAGGTCGGAGGTCCCTTCAGAGTCAGGCCGGAGCTGAGGCCAGAGCACAGTGGACGATGGTTCTTCTGCTCAGGTAGTCCTTTGGCTCTCCGAGAAGCTGTCTCTGAAGGTCAAGGTGAGAGCCCTGGTATGGCAGGGAGGCACCCTGTCCTCCAGCCATGAATTTACCAGCTCGGGCTGGCAAGGGGCCCTGGAACCTCGCGCTCACCCTTGGCACCCAGAGGGTCTTATCCTACCAGTATTCCCCGGGGGAGAGAGGCTTGCCCTGCCCTTAGCCTGCTTCCTGCAGCAGGAGCTAGCCCCTGACTTGCAGGGCAAGGCAGTGAAGCCTACGAAATGCTCGTTTTAATCCGACTCCCGGGAGGCCCTGACCTTGCTAGCTCTTGAATGACTGTCCGGGCCTCCAAGGAGCAGGCATCCTCTGCTCAGGCCTCCAAGGAAAGTGGCTCTTCTCGGACCCCTTCAGGGCTCGCCTTCCCCACCCCGCCACCGCCACGCTGCCACACTCTGCGGTCCTGGTCCTGGCTGGCCAATCCGAGGGAGGTGAGCAAGGGGCCAGACCTGCTCACTCTAGGGGAGGAACGACCCCTTTGGTGTCTGAGCAGCGCCAGAGGGGTCCCGGGGGCTTCGAGGCCCGAACCTACCCGCCTCTCGTCCACCACAATGTAGTTGCGCCCATGTTTCTTGGTCAGGTGTGGGGCCAGGACATCGAAGCGGCGGCGGAACTCGGAGAACACCATGTGGTCCGGATACCCTAGAGAGCAATCCAACCCAGACCGGGGTCAGCCGACGCCTGGTCTGCGCCCACTTCACCCCCAGGCAGCAGTGGGGAGGGTGGGCGGGAATAGGTGGCTGAAGGGGAAGACGCAGTGGGGTGGAGAGCCCACCCTGAAGCGGGCCCTGGAGAGGTGACTGAGAGGCAGGAGGGAAGAGAGAGGGCCACAGGGACAGTTTGGGGTGCTCCACACTGGGATGTTCTGTCATCAGCCCCCAACTGACGGCTTCCCCACACCCAGCAGAACAAGACACCGCCTGGCCTGGGCTGTCCCGTGATGGGCAGTGGCTCAGACTGTGTGATCCGCCGGGTTTCGCTGACTTCTGGAAGTAGATCACCAGGCCTTTCTTCCTAGCCTGTCTTACTCTGGAAGCTCACACACTGGAACCAGCCACACGCAGGCCTCTGCCAACGGCCGAGGCAGCTGCCCACCAGGTGCATTGCTGGCCAAGGGTCAAACTCGAGCCTGCGTGAATCCAACCACGTACGTCACCACTAATGCCACTGCAGGGTGTCACCACTAATGCCACTGCAGGGTATTCCGAACGGAACTCAGTGAGTCACAGAACCCACGCTGACTCATAAAGACCCGACAGAACAGGGAAAGCTGGCCCTGTGAACTCCCAAGATTGGGACTCTTGTTGGGAGTGGGAAGCCTCGTTCTTTCTCCCCAGGGCGCAGCTGGTGTTCTGAACTGCCATCCTGCAGGCTAGCAGCCCAACATGTAACCACTGTGCCACCAGGGCTCCTACCACTGAGGGAAGGAAAGGCTCTAAAGGGGAACGAGCTCCTTTGGGCGGGAGCAAGTTCCTGGCCAGTGAGGGGGGCAATTGCAGGGTGGGTGACCGAGATGTGTTATGGGAGAATCTGTGAGATCCCTTCTGGTCTGAGGATCTCAACAGGGAAAGACATGGGCCAGCAGAGAAGTAGCAGCACATGGGCTTGGGGTTTGAAACCTGTGATCCTCATGTGCTCTGGGTCAGTCACGCCTCCTCTCCGTGTCCCCACCACCACTCACCTCACCTGGAAGTCTCAGGGATTCAACGAGAAAACAGGCTCAGACACGAGTCTGTCTCACTTGAGGGCGACCAGTAAAATGCTCCCCTTTTCTTCAGCTCATTAAGGGCTCTCCTCTCAGCCCCGCCCTGACCTTGGGCCCTAGGCCAGGTGACCCAAAGCCTCTGCAGGTCCTTTCTCATGGACGGAAGGGCCCCGAGGTCTGGGAAAGCTGTTCTAGTGACACAACAGTTAAGGGCTCGGTTGGCAGTTCGGACCCAATAAACCCCAGTGTGGGAGAGAGACCTGGTGAACTGCTCCCTAATGATTCAGCGGAGGAAACCCTCTGGGGCCGGCTCCGTTCTGTCCCATGGGGTCACTAGGAGTCCACACTGACTGCGTGGGACGTGGGCAAAGACCTGTCTGGAGGTCAGGGGGGGTGCTCTGGGAGAGTAAGGTCAGGAGGGGGCAGGCAGGAGGTTACATTGAGTCTTGTTGAGGACAGAGCGGAGGGCCACGAGGCTGCCCCCGGCAGAAATCAATGAATTTCAGGCGGAAAAGGGCCAACACATCTCCCTGTGGCTGGGGGTGGGGTGGGGGGAGGAATGCAGGGGACACACAGGCAGCAGCACTGGGCTCCAGACGGGGCCTCCTGACAGCCAGCCAGGTGGCCTGGGGTTGCTGCACTGCGTGTGCTGGCTAGCACTGGGAACCCCTCCAACCGGGAGATGAGGCTGATGCATGTGCCTGATAATTGAAACAGGAGGCGGGGGCTGCCGAGGGGCCAAGACAAAGTGAGCTATTGATTGTATCTGAATTGCAATTAAATTGATGGGCCAGGATAGCAGGTCCGGACGCCTGGCATCTTAATTAATCATCAGCGCTATCGACGGTGGCGGGGCCGGGGGAGGGGGCTGCTGCTGCCGGCCTCATCGATCCGCTTGTTTGAGTAAAGCACATTGATTTTGGTTCAGAGCAGTAACAATCTGGTTTTGAAATAATAAACACCAACTCCATATCCAGACGTGGGGACGGAGCGGCGATTTATTTAGAGCAGAGCAGGGAGCCTATTTTCTGGCTCTGGTGGCTAAGGAAAAGTGACGGCCCCCGTGGGGATCCTGGAAGGGGACTTGGCTCCCGGGTGGGTGGAGTCTGCCTGCTCATCTAGCCAAGGGAAAAGGGGGCAGAAACCTGGCAGAGCGGGGCTTCTAAGGCAAACCAAACCTGCCTTGAGAGGCACTTGCCCTGGGGTCAGTCTGTCTGCTTCAAACCCTGCTCTGGCTCTAAGGAGCTGTGTGGCCTGGGAAAGCTGCTAACCTCTTTGAGCCTCTGGCTCCTCTCTTGGGGAGGACAACAGTACTAACTCACAGGGTCGTAGCGACGTGGTGGATGACCTGAGTTAATGTGTGCTAGGCGTCCGAACCAGGGTCTGGACCATGCTGAACGGTCAAGTGCGGTAAACGCCTGTCCCCATCCTCCCTGCCCTCTCCTCTGGCCGGGTCCAGAAAAGGGTGTGGTGTCCGACCTCTCCTGGGGATTTTAAATACTTCACAGGACTCAGTGACGCTGGGTCTCAGGAGGGGGTGACCAACATGCAGCTTGCTGGCTTGCTCCTTGGTGACAATTGCCATCCCTGGGCAGACAGTGCTCCACGGACATCTGCTGACCCACCCAAACAAGGGACAGAGGAAGGAAGGAAGGGGCTGAAGGGACAAATGGCAGGGAGGGGGACAAAGAGAACTCCAACATGGAAGGGGCGG